TGTTACTTCTATATTACGCATACATTTGCTGCCGCTGTCACCCCTTAAAGCCGGACGCTCTTCTTTGTTTATGAATTGCATTTATTTTCCTGCACACTGTATTACGGAGTATCGCACAATCTTTACGCAGTGAGAGCCCCCATCAATGTGGAAAACCTGTTAAATAAACTACTGACCCAGAGGCAGACCGTAAACACGAGCAGCTGCAGCATAGAAAAAAAGTACATCCGAACGAAAGCACAAACCCAACATGTTTACATGGCTTTTAAGTGCCCACGCACTTTGCGCCAATACGTGGTGTGTGTGTGACCGGTAACAATAAGTCGGGAGCATTATTGCTGTAATGCGATTCATCCACACGACACTTCAGAACACCCAGCAACTGAGAAAACGGGCGACCCAAGGGTGTCAATTTGTCCACTTATTTCGCTGGGATAAGAGAACCATCCTCAAGAGACACAGAGGCAGGGGGAGACAATGCTAACAAAAGACATAGACAAAGCTCCCCCATATAGCCTTAACAGACTGTTCGGCCAAGTGTTGTTAGCCAGCACTTATGAAGGCCGGCACGGCACACGAGGTAGTGAGTGGGCGGCCAGCACCACGCCCGGCCACCTTTGTCTCCCCAGTGGCAATGTTTACACACCGCACCAGATACTAATTTAAGGCAGAGTCGACCTAGGGGAGGCCCAGGACCAGTACAGATAATCGTCACTGGTGTTGGCCGTGAGCGGGAATTGAACCCGGGTCCCCTGGTTAGAAGCGCAGCTTAGCGCTAACCGCTACACCACCGGAATGGAATTATTACCGAGCGCGCGGTACTGCATTCACACGATCATATCACAACAAAAAAGCGCCTCACCCTAGAATTTCTCACGTTGCTAGCGCGCACGTTTCTTGAGAAGCAGCCACTCAAAACAGGGTGTGTGGCGGGCACCCCCCGTGACCCGAGATGCCTCACAGATGCAGCCCTCCACAGCCCACACAAGAGGTGCTGCTGCTTGCTGGCTTCCATGTTAAGCTGAATGCGTCTTAAAACGCGTGTTCATACACGACCAGGGGCAACGTACGGCGGGCGCATTGGGCGCGTCTGTCGTTTGGCTCAGTTGCAAAGTTTAGAGAGTGCGGTAACGTTGAAGGGCCACAATAACGTAAGAATTGTCTATATATGGGGTGCAAAGGAATTCACTTGCAGTGGCGCAGTATGGTGGAGATTAAATGCTTAATCTCAAGCGTGGAATACAGACTCTAATCATTCTGATTTTCACGAGAGCAAAAAAACGGATTTGAAGAATTGCTGAACATTAGCCTCTTAACACGAACATCAAAATCGTAATCTTTATTTAGGCTGGAGGAATCCAATTATAATCATGTAAAAGGAGACATACACAGGAATATCCACAGTGTATTAAATACATGTGTTTTTGTGTATGTATTGTATTAAGGTTACCTTTGTATATTTCTTCATTGCTGTACTATTATTGTACTATTCTGTATGTTTATGTTCGCAAGCATAATGTGGAACTGAATAACGTGCATTCCGAATGCAAATCAATCACGTAAGATTAAGAAATAAAAAGTCATGTCTACAATTGAACAGATATAATCTCTCAATCCAGACAAATGAACATGAACCGCAATGATTCCTGACGTTTATAGACTATGAAAAGGCGTTTTCATTCATTTGAAACTGAAGCTGTCTGTCGGGCTCTCGCAAATCCGAGGGCACAAGTTAAAAACATGTAGAAATGATCAAACTCATTTAAAAACATGTAGAAAGTATTGAAACACCATTTGTAGGCATTGAACCGGTACACTGAAAAACATATTAATAAAAGTGGTAGAACACAAATCAGAAGAGGAGTAAATACACAGAAACATTAGAGGACATTATCCAAAAATTGGATTGGAAAAGTTACGGCATGAACCTAGTATTAACCATCTCATTTCCTGATGGTATAGTCATCATAACAAATGAAAGCGAAATACAGCGAATGATTCAACGATTAAACAAAGGGTATGAAGTTGGCTTCAAGATAAAGTGCATGAGCCAAAACAAAAGTAATTTACAAGTGTGCTCCGTTAAAGGGTTATAGTTGTTGTGGGGTCATTGTAAGACAACAGAGAATGTTGTTGTATAGCTAGGGCAATCATCGATGGAGGATTGAGTTCACATTGATCAGACAGAGGTGAACATGAACAGGATAGTGTTTTTTTTTGTAAAACTGCTTTTGAACATAAAAACACCATATCAATGTGAAGAACATTTTAAATCGGTACATATAATCCATTATAACATGAATCAGAGATATGGAGAGAGTGACAAATAATATGGAACAAAATATTTTTTTTCAGTGCACAAAGTGTGGAGTAATGCATGATCGGATTGACAATGAAATATGAGCAAGTGGATCAGGAAACAAACCCAAAACAGAAACATCAACTGGTAAGGAAGATAAGTCGGCTTGAGCAGGACACAATGCTAGGAACAATGCTGGCCATGGGACGACACTGGTGATGGAATGGCAGCCAAAGGAGAGAATGAACTCAACGGGAAGACCACCGTAGAGATTGAGCGATGAAATCAGCTCACCAAGAGCAGCAACGGCGAGAGAGATTGTGGCATTGCAAGTGGCGACGCAGGGAGGGCCCTTCATCAAACTGTGGATAAATATCCGATAATAATTTTCAACAGTACAGAGCGTAAGATTATTTAAGTATTGATTTAAAGCTTTCGTGACTGAAGGGATTCATATTCTTGGTTATTTCGGTAAAGTCACGTAGAAGGGAAACAATAAAAGAATAAAATTATTAAACAATAAAATGCTCACGACGTTTCGACTGCAACACAAGCAATCATCATCAGGTGCGAAAACCACTTTACCGAAAGAACCAAGAATATTATTTAAGTATGTAAAAAAATCGTAAGTGGGATTAAGTTATACATTATACATATCTTTTTAGAGATTCAAACTTTGTTTACATTTATTTCTATAGCAGTGCCTTAAACTACAGGATTTTATTCTCTTTTTTAAAAAAAAATGACTAATCGGTGTCCTTTATTAAATCAGGTGAAAAGCCCTCCGAGAAGCGATATCACTTTTGACAAAGACATACCCAGGCTGGCAGTGGTGGTTGCCAGTCCACTGGTGGAAGCCCTAAGCACAAATTATATTTGTGTGCATCACATCACTACAAACATCATTATACGTTACGTATTTACATCACAATTGTGTTCAATAATCAAGTGAACACACTGAGAACTCGTACTTTAATGCGTGGCGTTATTAGAATTATGAGCTCTTTATGTGTACCGAATTCAGCTCTACATTTCCAGCCGATGAGAGTAATTATTTGGTGCACTCACGATTTTCTTGCCACGAGTTCACTTGGGGAGCCGCCAGGGCCTTCTTTAGTGCTTAATTTCTCATGCCGGACGGTGACGACGACTATAACGTTACAAAATTATTACAACACCACCGATGGACAACGCGCCAGCTTGAGCAGCTCGACGTCGTGAAACGTTGGGCAACACTGAGAGAGAGAGAGCGGGGAGGTGGAAGGTGGAAACTCTCGGTGCCTACGCAGAAGCAAAAAGAAGATAGCCAGCCAGTGGCATAAATTTCCTGGTCTAAAACCAAAATACACGCCGCTTATCTCCTGGCCGAGTGGACTTTGGTCTAATGGTGTAAACAGATACAACGTTAAGCCCTCGGCGAGTTCCATTTGTCGAAGCGAAGCGCACTGTTTTTTTTGGGGGGGGGGGTCCCGTGCGTCTTGCCAGCCGCAATCACAGACGGGGCCCCCCCTTTCTCCTGGCTCGTAACAAGAGAGGGCAGGAGAAGCAAAATGCTTGAGCACGCTCTGCGTGTGCGTGCTGTTGTTCTGTGTTCTTCATGTCAAATGGAAAAATCGCAAAGACTTCAACAACTACAACAACAACAAAGGTCACACACACACACAAACAAAGTTGTCACGATTTCAAACTCTCGCTGGTCAATTTAGTGAGTGTAATGTTCTAGGGAGTTTAAGCGGCGGGCACGGCACTCACTAAACTAACCCTGCTGCCAGAATGTAACGTTGCAGTGTCCGGTTGTATTATTCTAATAACAATGGAACATTTGTGTCGCAAACATGCGGCGAGTTTGTGTTAATAACTTTCCCTCTAACGCGAATACACACTATATATACACGAGCCACGTGTATACATGCAAGATGTAAAGCACACAGTATATTACAAAGACACACAAACTATGCACACGGTGAAACGTGCACTGTACTTTAAAAGACAACATCTAAATATTGGATGTACCAGGCCCAGACATTGTGAAACTCCACTGCTGGATGGGGGCCTAGCCGCCGCTGCGGCTTGTAGGGGTGTTTGGCCATACTTCACCACGCTGGTCAATGGGGGTGGGGGGGTAGGTGAAAACACTGTATGTTGGCAGTGTCTTGAACAGGATATGAATACTTGCAACATACGATATACCCCCCCTCCCCAGTATAGAATGTACGTAAGACAACATGATAAACAAACACTCACAATTAGCACACAGACGTAAGGGAGGTGCGGTGCATTTAAAGTGTCGCCTCGGTGCCGTCACTGTACTGGGATTGTACCGAGCAATTATTGACAACATTCCAACATTACTGTACACTAGTTTACATTGTCACGGCTTCAAAGTTTAAATAATAACAATGATGAAACGTGTAGCTAGGACCTTTCATGAAATTAGCCAAGTAGCCCCGGTTAATTAAAGGCATTACAGTAGTACCGAGTCAAGTCACTCGGTACGGGCATTACAAATCATTAAGAAATACTTCCATAAAAGATCAGCTCGAGCAAAAATTATCTCCTCAAATAACAAAACCACTGTTGTTTTACACAACGTAGCGTCGTTGTTGATGATGATGTGAACGCGAGACGACCAATACCCCAACGCGTTAACGTCAATAGCTGAGGATGTGGATGTGGTGGTGGTGGTGGTGGCGTTACTCACTCACAGACTCCAGTGCACTGCTTGAGCCGAGGGCAGCAACCAGCAGCCAGCAACCAGCAGCACTTCACATGACGCAGGGCAGCCCCCTAGCCCCCGAGGGCTTGCTGCCCTTCCCGTGTGCTTTGCTGCCCTATATATAGAGGCGACCATAGACACACACACGCACGCGCGCACACACTAAACGCACTCCTTCCTATAGACTGTACGTATAGACTGCGCCTATATATTATAACATGCGGGTTACTACGCCGCTGTAAACCCCGATACCAACACTAATGTCCTATCCCTAACCCTACAACTACTACCACTACATACACCCCCGAAAAAATGGGGGTAAGGGGTGGGCAACCTTTCTACCTCAGTTGAGTGGTTGACGGTAAGCAAGCTTAGCTCGCAGGCTTTTGCCCACACACTCGGAGCCCGAGACGACAGTGTCAGTGGTACGAGTGTAGAGAGAGAATCGCCTTCCGCCCTCAAAGCACGCGTCTGAAGCTCTCTCCCCTCTCTCTCTCTTTCCTCTCTCCCTCTCTCTCAGGGAGGTTTCACGCCCCTCCCCCACCGCCCCCTCTCCCACACGCCCCGCCCCCACTCCCACACGCCCCTCCCCCACCGCCCCCCTCTCCCACACGCCCCGCCCCTCTCCCACACGCCCCGCCCCCTCTCCCGCACGCCCCGCCCCCTCTCCCGCACGCCCCGCCCCTCTCCCGCACGCCCCGCCCCTCTCCTACACGCCCCGCCCCCTCTCCCACACGCCCCGCCCCCTCTCCCACACGCCCCGCCTCCTCCCCCACACGCCCCCGCCTCCTCCCCCACACGCCCCCGCCTCCTCCCCCACACGCCCCCGCCTCCTCCCCCACACGCCCCCGCCTCCTCCCCCACACGCCCCCGCCTCCTCCCCCACACGCCCCCGCTCCCTTCCCCACACGCCCCCGCCCATCGCGTACACGCCGCGACCCTTTCTTTTTAACCCCCCCCTCATTTCCCTCTAGCCCCGCCCCCTTATCGTTAGCCCCACCCTCTTGGTGTTTAGACTCCGCCCGCCCTCGGCAGTCTGGCCCCGCCTCTTCCCTATTGTCACTTCGAGAACCACACGGAGAGGTAACTCACGACCGCTCTGTATTCTTATGCCAATTATACAACAAATGTTCACCGGAAGAGAAAACATAATTGCAGTATTAATTAATATCCGACCTAACGTATAGCGTAAAGTCTCCAACTCTTAGTATCCACACGGTCTTACTGGCTTAATGTGTGCTCTGAAGAAGGACCATTTGCCCGAAACGTCGTGCCAGTTATACATTTCCCCGTGTTAAGTCCACGGTCTCATTGCCACGGAACGTGTTGAGTTGAATGTGGGGGGGAGAGGTGGAGGGGGTTATAAGTGCTTGTGCATCACCGACTGCCACGCAGTGTCACCAAATCACTTCCAAACGAGTATCATCTTCGCATCTCACCGTGGGAAGAACCCTCATATTCGCACCCCCCCCCCCCCCCCAAAAAAATATATATGCAACAAATTCTTCATCAATAACTAACTGCCTTTTAAATATATAATCGGCGACGTTTCGGGTAACAGCCCTTAGTTACCACGCGTACCGCGCAGCACGTGCTGCGCGGTACGCGTGCGTGCTGCGTGCGTGGTGCACGCGCGCGCGTGCGTGGCGTGCGTGCGTGCCGTTGTTGTGACGCTTGCCCGGGGCGGGGGGGGGTTTGACGGTGTTGTGCCTTCAGCACGCGCCCGTGTGCTGTTGTGGTCGTTCGTGCACGGGGCTGGACAGCCTTGTACATTAACCCCACCCTCATCCTCCTCCACGCGTGTGCGTGCGTGCGGTTTGGTGTTCGTGTGGACGGATGGTTGAGTGAATGTTGATGGAGGGGGGGCGGGTTGTGCGTTTCGTGGATGAATGGGTGTGTGTGTGTCTCGATACACTGGTGGGGTATGTGGTTGCGTGGCTCTATAGGTGTGTGTGTGTGGGTGTATTCTCGCTCACGGCCAACACCAATGACGATTGTCTGAACAGGTCCTGGGCCTCCCCCTAGGTCGACTCAGCCTCAAATGAGTACCTGGTGCGGTGTGTAAACATCGCCACGGGGTAGACAAAGGCGGCCGGGCGTGGTGCTGGCCACCCACCCCCTCGTGTGCCGTGCCGGCCTTCACAGGTGCTCGCTAACGGCACTTGCCCCCAACACTCTGTTCAGGCTTTACGGGGTGATCTTTGTTTGTTCCGCGAGTATGTACGATTGAGGCTCGACATATGTGGGTGACCGGTTGTGTCTGCGTGTGGGTGTGCGTTACGTGGATGCCACCGGGGTGTGTATTGAACATGCGGATGTCTGGGTGTAATGTGGCTGAGTGTGCGTTGTAGGGTACGTGTGTGCGTGGGTGGTATGTGTTTTTGTGGGTGGGTGTGTGTGCGTGTGGGTGGTGACAGGACGTGAGTGTGATGGGGAGGGGGGGTGATGGAGGGGAGTGGAGTTGTGTCGTCACTGGAGTGGGATTGGAGGCTTTGGGGAAGGATTAATTACCACGTATACACTCATACAGCTTGACGTATCCTATGGATGTACTTGCTACACAGCATACAGTATTTACCACGTCTTATACAAGCATTTTACGTGCACTCAATATTTCATATCAGATGCAATGGGGTATTCCACGTCATGTTAAATACTGCATAATTCTCGTGTGATTATACCCTTTGTATAATATGAAGATGCACGTGTACACACGTGCCTGCTGCTGCGGATGCCGTATTTTTAAGTTACCGCACGTGTCAGTCATTCACATTATGACAGTCATGTGTATAGAGTGCAGCATATGCAAGCAGCACACGTACATTACGTGCAATTTATTCGTACAAATTGTACACAAGCGGCAAATATGCGCTTGCAATTATTTTATTTTTTTACCAAAGCTACAACAAATGCACGCGCACGCCGTCGGTGCATTATTCGTCTTATAACAACACACGCTTATAAAAGTGCGACTCTGTGTACTGAAATATTCATCTAATACGACACAATGCAAAGCGAGCTTTAACAAACCCCTTCGCATGCCCTTCCCTCCCCGCGCGCGAGCAATACCTATAGAATATGTATGCTGTTTATGGGTCCAAGCCTTGCTTTGCTCATTTGGAGTGGACGAGAGTGATGTCTGGGTTGCATGTGGCTGTGTCGAGGCACATCACGGCTGGCTGGCTGGCTGACTGGCTGCTTGTGATCGCTTGCGGTTCTGTGGATGGCGTTGTGGTGACATTCCAGGGAAGCCAGCCAGCGGTGAGCTGACGTTGGGAGCCGGGTGAATATCAACCACGTCAAGCTGCTGAGCTGTCTTTATATTTGCATCCCTGTAAGTCCCGTGTACTGTATTGCAACCAGTTATACTATGGTTGTTTATGGCGGGTGTGTGCAGATTTATAAATAAATAAAAAATACAGGATTGAGGTGCCCGGTTTACAGAATGAACGGCACTTCGATGTCACCAATTTTAATTTCCTGTTTTAATTCGGTGGCAGCCGAGTGCATCGGGAATTGGTGAATGTGTGAAACGCCAATCACAATCACATGGCATGGCAAACCGAGGCATTATTACCGGCGATGTTGGTGGCAGGCTGTCTCTTTGGCGAGGCAAGAATATAAATCAAATGACATACAACCCGAGGAGCGACGCGTATACACTCCTGGAAATGCAACAGCTGTGCAACGCCACAAATTGCGATACGTGGGGTACAGTGTATTATTAAATGCATAGCTCAGGATTGCCATGTTGACTTGCTGCGGTCTTGCATTTCGCTTGTGCTCCCGCCCATTAAAGCGAAACGTGTGCTTATAGCCGCGTTGTGAAATACGTGGCAGCTCGTGAGAGAGCTCAGCCCACAGTGTGTGGGTTAAAAGTCAATAGTGTGCCGGAGAGACAAACGCAGAAATTGAGAATTCATGTGAATTAGGACATAGCGTTGGTTCAAAGAACAGGGCATGTAAACTTATTTCATTCTTTGTTACAATGTGGGGTCGGTGGAACGGGTGGAGGGGCGGGGGGTTTCCAAGTCTGGCGTTTCAGGGAAGGATGATGGTTTGGCTTCAACATCCACTGCTCTTTGCTCACCAACAAAAACACAATGAAACTGTACGACTTAAGTGTTATTGCCCCTTTCTGCAATATTCATTCCCGCTGCTGCAACAGCAGCCGCAGTATCGGGGAGACATCCATTGAATGTGTCACAGTGCCGTGCGTACTGCGTTTCACTCGGCTTGCCACCTCTGGCGGGCGTACACAGGATGGTCCAGATGTCATTTGACCCCCCCCCCCCCCACACACAGACACATTTCATTGTCTAAAACGTCATATTTGTTTAAAGTAAGGTTTATTTAAAAATACAACTGAATTTGCAAAAGGAAAATCAATGTTAGGTGTCAATTAATTCGGGGGTCACAAGATATCCTGATCGCCATGTACAACAACAAATAAGGACATATGATGGGAATAATAATATCTCTCGATGCGAATGTTGTACATTCGTCGTCTTGCGTGTTACTGTATTATTATTTAATGGGACTGCCAAAACAATTACTTTTCCCAGGACAGCCTACCTCAAATAGAGAGCCATCCGAGGAAAAATCATTACAAACGACAAGTCTAAAATGTTCAAGTGTACTACAGAATGTACCCTGCGCTTGTAAACAGTACGCAGGACTATGCGTGAGTGCATCCGTGCAATGCTAAACGCACACTCCATAGTCCATAAGGCGAATGTGCTGTTGCTCTGTGGAATGGCATTCTTTATTTGCATAAGTGACAGCCAATAAATGCTACTAATGGTGTTTTAACATCGTGCAGCGGGCACTAATTTGACAACAAAAAAGTGTATAAGCATACTTTACAGAATTAGAATAGTACAGAAAAACACATTTTCTATGGGAGCAATTAAGTACGTAATTGCGAGGCTGATAAAAAAACGTTATGGGTCTAACATAAACTGGTGGCGAGGATTACTGTATCGTTATATGCATGTACCGTAACTGTCCATCACACGAACCCTATGTTTTGGATCCCCAGACACTCTTCTTATTGTTGTCTTTAAATAAAATATTGGGGGGGGGGGGGTGGAGGTGCGTCTTATAATCCGGCACGTGTGCGTGAGAGATAGAAAGACAAAGGCGGTCGGGACGTGGTGCTGGCCACCCACCCTCTCGTGTACCGTTCCAGTCTTCATAGGTGCTCGCTAACAGCACTTGCCCCAACAGTCTAGTAAAGGCTACACGGGGCGGGGGGGGGTCCTTTGCCCAAAGGGAAAGACAGCGGATATGTACAACTTTATTATTGACACCGGGCAAACGTTTGGGGTCCGTCTTACTTTTGCACAGCGTCTTATAATCCGCATTGTACGGTATCACATCGCACTCTTGCCAAATGCAACCCCCCCCCCCGACCCCCGATGCCTTGTTTGGGTGTGGATCACATATCAGTGCCTACCTGATTACAGACCAATTCAGAGCTCATGGGTCACCCCGTGCCCTTATAAATATCAACGTTCATCCAACAAAGT